TGCAATAGAAAACCGAATGCTCAACCTCTAGTTAGAGAACTAAAGGGAAACCCATATTGACTGTATTGGCTACAATCTTAATGAATAGCAGCCACGACCGATTTCGTCCTTGCTTCGATTGTGATGGAATTGAATAAGCCACCTGATGAGACCCGTAAGCAAGGTCAAAACCGGTCGTGGCTGCTTCAACTAATTGCCCTCATCCTCACCCTCATCCTCACCCCCTTAACTGTTGCGAATAGGCTTAGAATCGACAGAAAAAGAAAAAAAACACTGGTATTGTATAAAATATTCATTACATTATTGTCAAGCGTATTTCCAAATTTCCAACGAACAATACTATCAATGGGACATAGTATCATAGCTAAGCACATATCTTTTACAGAAAATTAAAAAATAAATGATTATATAAATTATGTTCTAAAATGATTTATCCCACGTTGATACAGATAAAACTGAAAAAGGTACCTTCATTATTATTAGTGAAAGCATTTCTAAAACTAAACTCTGTCCAAGATTAGAAAACATATCAAATATGTTTTATATAATAGTTACTGTAATAAAAAATCTTATTGACTATAACTCATTCCCTATCATTAAAGATCATACATTATATGAGGTAGAAGCGATAATTCTCTTTATTAAAAAATCGATTTACATAAAAAATTGAGCTCGGAGAATAATAGCAGAAAACAAACAAGCATGTTTATATGATTTATTGTGATCGAGGAACAACACGTAGCCAAATACCATTTTTGCTATTGAGGATTGCTAGCTTTCCCAACTGAAGTGGAACCTACCGATCAAATCAATGATAGAATGATAATACTAAGAAAATCATCACTCACTTCTGTTTTTTCACATTTTTGAAATTCTACGAGACGAAGTGCTTTCGCAATTCCAAGTTTAGCTTCTGATAATGCAAATCGCATTCCAATACAATTACTACATATTACATATCATGAATATTTATTCAATATGAATAAACAAAGTTTTTCTTCTTACCGAGGTCCATCACCAAAAGGAAGATATGTCATCGGATGACGTTTAGCTTTCTCCGCTGGTAAAAACCTATCAAACAACATCAATATACACAACATGATCTAATGGCTTGAAATTTCACCTTTCAGGTATGAATTTTTCTGGATCAGACCAAACATTAGGATCATGATGAATGGGATAAACAGGTACATTAATAATAGAACCTTTTGGTATATGATAATTACCAAGTTGATAATCACATGATGCAACACGATCAAATCTATTATAGAAAACATACATTTATCAATGAAGATAAACATCAACAGCACACTGACCTAATAAATGGTGGGTACTTTCGAAGTGTTTCACTAATAACCATATCCAAATATGGAAGTTGATTGAGTTTTTCATGAGTAACTTCGTCCTTCATAACACTACTAAATATCATTATTCTTTCACATGAATCTAACTTACATCTCCAAGTTCTTGTCGAATTTCCTCATAAACTTTTTCTTGAATGACTGGCTCTGTTGCCATGACATAGAAAAAGAATGACATCAATACACTTGTTGTTTCATAACCAGCAACTAAAAAGACCATCGCTTGGCCAAGTATTTCTTTATCATTCAAAGCTAAAATCAAACAGTAAATTAACAGACGAATATACTTCATTCCTACTTTTTTTAAGTGTTCCCCATTGTTGTTGTTCTTTTTTATCTGTTTGTTGATTTGTTTCTTCTTCTTCATGATCGACCATCATTTGAATAAAATCATTTCGTCTTTCTAAATGTTGTCGACGACGTGCTAATATTTGATTGAGAATATTAGTTATATAATCAGAAGCGTCCTTGGGGAATAGTGAATAACCTCTTTTTCCCAAATAACTGGCCAATCGCGGTGACATTACTATTTTACAAAGAAGGACACAATAAAAAAGATAAGTTTGGTTATTTTCGTTGAAAAATGCTTACAAAATATAAGGAGAAATATATTTGAGAGACTTAGATTGAAAAATTTTTTCAGATGATTAATCAAAGTAACATTTTCATTCTGCAAAGAATTTGTTTCAATTCCAAATAGACAAGAAGCAATATTATCAAGAGTATATTGACCATTCAGCCTATTATTATAACAAGATTAAACTTAAGATAATTACATTAAGTAAGAGATACACCTACACTTTGATATCAAATATTTCTTGTTTATCAGCATATTCAAGAAGACGTTTATTATACATATCACTAACTTGATTCATAAGACCATACATCTGAAGAGGAAGATTATTAAAAATAAATCGTTTTAAATAGTAATATTTACTGCTTTGAGTTTTGCTGTAGAGAATGTTGGTGAAACAATAGATCGAGCATTTTTCCACTGTTCATCCTTCAGTCTTGTAAGACCATGTTCCAAAGGACCTGATATACCTTCGACAACCTCTCAAGAAAAGTATTTAAGTAAAATGAGAAAACTAGAAAAAAGTTTGGTATTCTACTCGTCGATTGATAAATACATTTGAATCTTTGATGAGAACATTTCGAAGAAGATCGGGATCAGAGAGAAGAATATTTGGAGCTTTTCCTCCGAAACCTCTAAAAGAAAGATGCAATTATTTAATGCAGAAATATTGATTGAGTCAAGCATGAGACTAATTTTTCTAGAAATGCCTCAAAAGACAAGAGTTCTTTTTACATTCATACAGAATAAAATAGTCCCTCGCCATCTTCTACTATGCCTGTATGACTTTTCACTTACCCGATGATTTTGCCGTATTTATGAACAAGATCTATGTCGTTATTATTCACGCCCTTAGTAAAACAAATTTTTCCACGTGAATATAATAAGATCAAATGAGAAAATTTATTACCTTACGTATAATGTTATAAATCTGGCCAAGAAATGAAATAGGTGATGGACCAGGCATTTCAAGACGACGAAATATATGATTCATATGTAAATTGTAACTAAAATTCGAGTCGGTAGATTTTCATTGCGAACTAATAAATGAGTTGCAAAGAGTACTCACACATAATAAGCCAATATAAGTATGAGCAAAATCAATAATGTCAATGTAATTGAATCACC